AATCCTGAATCTGAGCTCAACGAAAATCGTTCCTTGCGCCTAACTTTACTAGGGCTTTTGAATGAGCTATGACTCATTGAAATCGAACCAGTGGGAGCGGAGGAGTTGGTTGGATACACACACGCACAAACACCCACACACACATACACTGTACTTTATATATATATGATCAGCAACAACACGTTACAAGTGACAAAGACAATAATATATGTGTAACAAATGAATGTGGAAACATTTTGATCCAACGTTTAGGAGTGAATGTGCATATGTACGGGTGTGTGTGTGTTTCTCGTGGTGAGAAAAACGCAATCTTCTGCGAGGGATTCACACTGTGGTCGTACAAGCGGAAAATAAGAAGAGACTGATAAAAAAATTATCGCAGAGTAAAGAGCTGTTCGATAAAAGTGACTCACCTGATTTTTTTTACTTAAATTTTTTTTCGCCTAATGTTTTTGGGGTCAAACTAATTTTTAATCTTACTAATATAAAGACCCCTTCCCGACCACCTAGTAAAAAAGTTTACTCACCCTAAGGTATTCTATTGATAATTATAATTTTGGATATAAATGAGATTTAGGGAAAAACTCTGTGTAAAAAAAGTGACTCACTTATTTCCTGCAACCAGTAATCAATAGAAACATAATCTAACAGCTTTAAATAAAGAATAATAGAGGTATAATTTATTTATAATAGGTAATATTGTTCGAAATATTTAATAATCTATGGGTCCACCTTTATTTTGAATAACCTTTTCAACCCTTTTTAGCATTGACTTGATGAGGTTCTGGCAAATCTCATCTCCAAGTATTGAATTCCATTCGGATATAAAATTCACAATCAAATCCTCTTTGTTGCTCAACTGCTTTCTCGAGAGCCTGTACTTTATAATGCTCTATGAGTTTTCTATGGGGCTGAGGTCAGAAGATTGGGGCGGCCATGTCATAACACTCACCTGCTTCTCATCAAAGTATTCCTTCATTAATTTTGATTTGTGACAGGGAGCATTATCCTGCATAAAAATGAGCTTGGTGGGGTCGATTTGCACCCTTTCAGCAGAAGGGAGCAGACAAGACTCTAAAATTCTCTTGTACTGCTCGCTCCTGAGGGTCTTTTCAATAGGTTTTAAGAAACCAGTTCCATGAAAAGAAAAGCATCCCCAGAACATTATACTGAACGGGTGCTTGACAGTACTTACTGCTAAATTCAAAGAGCCTTCAAAGCTTCTTCTTCGGATTTCAGATCGCTTATCCTTTGAATTTAGCTCAACTTTCATTTAGTAAAAAAAAAAAAAATCAGGTGAGTCACTTTTATCGAACAGCACTGTATTTATTGTGCTGGAGAGCGTCCCCTTGCAACAGTTTCGGAAATTAGGAGGACATAACCCGACATCGTGTAATTTCGACTAACGCTGGTCGTTTACAAGGAAAGATGATTGGAAATATATGAATAGCCAGTATTAAACAATGATAGACACGTGGATTATAAAATTTCTGCTTAACTTCCAACCGACTTACTTTCTTGCGAGCACGTTCACCTGACGATATCATTTCAAATCAGGGGACCTCTCTACAATTGTCATTAATTTACTTGTTTCTCGTTCTATCGATTGAAGCGCCTTTCCTTTCTAAGTGAGAAAATCTTCTGGGTGTCTGGCCATAGATACTGTGCATGTATTTACGTCTTTTATTGTATTTTGTTTCTAGGGTTATTCAGACATGTTTTTCCTTCTTCCTGCCTTTTGGGATTGCATTCAAATACTTCAATGGTCGTATAATGTTTATTTGAGGTTAGTGCTCTCATGGTTTGGCTTTCAGGCACGGCAGTCAAGTCACTGATGAGGTGATCGATGGATAAACAGCGCTCAGCAGTCAATGACACTTTCAAAGGTTTGTTTCTTACTGAGTTTCAAACCGTTGCACAAGTACGATATATATATATATCATATTCGAAAATTGGAAAAGTCGAATTAAATAGACAGATATTATCGGTTGATCTATTTTAATCATTTCAGAGCAAGCAAGGCGATAAAGTCACTAAGACACAAGGGATTACAGAGAGTTAGAGAGTATGAAAAAACACTATTAAGGAGGGAGGACAGTAAAAGAACAAGAATTAAGAAGACAGGAGATAGGGATTGATAATAGCATTTAAAGTTTTGATGATCAAAGTTGACTGGGAAGCAAGAAAGCCGGAAGAGATTGCCACAATTGAAAAGTACGAAAGAAGAAACTATTAACATAGAACTTACGGTGACACCTTGATATTTCAAACGTAAAATAATGATGAGACCTCACCGCCAATCTAGTACTGCGCTTAAATTCATAAAGTCCAGGTACCATAGAGAAAAGTTAATCAGACCAATTATCATTGAACAAAACTTTCTTGGGAAATTATTGCTACGTAAATACCCCATATATATATATATATATATATATATATATATATATATATATATATATATACATATAAATATAGATAACTAGACTCGTTTCGAAAAACCCTCGAATTTTTGATTTGCGAATCAAATCAATCTCGAGGGAAAAAAAGGTTTTAAAAAAAGAAAGAGCTACAAACATGGACTTCTGCCGACAAAAAAATCGCACAGATACAGGTCTGAAGCCCAAAGAAAAAACCCCGATACGAGTAACAACTAACTAACAAACTTTCCCCGATGATCCGTTTAGGTGAAACCTAGGTAGGTTTGTCTGGCTCACTAGGTGTATCTATATATATATATATATATATATATTACAGCGAGGTTCACCTTTTACAAAGATTGGGGGTACTCGAGGTAGATGGTTACGTTTGGAGGTTATTTGTGTGTATAGGAGTGGAAGATTTAACTCTAACCATAAACAGGTTAAGATGGTAGTGATCGGGGAAACATCCTGTTGGGAGTTTATTCCACAGGAGGAAGCTGACGGCAGAAGTATTATCCTTGAAGTTTTAAAAGGATACTTCTTCTGCCGTCAGTTAATTTTAAGAAGTTAAGTGGGTGACTTTCGCTGGATTTTGCAATTAATTTTGTTTTTTTTTTCCACATTCATTTCCAAATTATAAAAATTGTTATTGTACAAAAAATTCGTCGAAAAAAATTACGCAAAAAAAAAAAAAAGAAAAAAAATGTAAAAATTTATCGAAAACAAACGCAGTAATAAAAAATTGGGAATCCAAAATTTCAGGATTACGGGTCCGGATCCATCCCGGAATGTTTTGAATTTATTCACGGAGTCAGTCTGATCACAGAATGGTATAATATGTTGGGCAACGGCTTCTAGGAGTAAAGTTGAAAAAGTGTGACACAGTGACACACTGACATTCGCATTTAATATACAGAAGAAGAATATGAACTATTGAAAGTTAGAGTTGTGTCCCTTTAATTGAAAAAGTGTGACACAGTGACACACTGACTTTCGCATTTATTATATAGATTAACCTTTCGACTGAACTGAAGCATGAAGAGAAAGATTTTAATGTCGCAATTTTCCGTGTTCTTTTTCATCGATACGAGGAATGAACAAAGAAGTGAGAGTTTCTCTTCCGAAGAATGTTGTTGTTGGGCAGAGGTCTCCCTGTGAAAATTATAAACCAAATCCCTGTTTAATTCCTCATTGTTTGAATATATTTTGAAAATAAATTTCCACACCTATGTGGCTGTTGGATGAAGATGCTAAAAGATTGTATCTGAGGTCACCGACGCTATGAAATGATTGGCTGAAGTGTTCTGGAGGAATAAATCTTCATTTTATAAGAAGCTCACGTGGACACCTTTCGTTTTGATGATATATGTAGATATATATATATATATGTGTGTGTGTGTGTGTGTGTGTGTCTGTGTGTGTAAGTGTGTGTGTGTGTGTGTAAGGGTGTGTGTGTGTGTCTGTGTGTGTCTGTGAGTGTGTGTGTGCGTGTGTGTGTCTGTGTGTGTGTGTGTGTGTGTGTGTGTGTGTGGTGTGTGTGTGTGTGTGTCTGTGTGTGTGTGTGTGTGTAAGGGTGTGTGTGTGTGTGTGTGTGTGTGTGTGTGTGTGTGAGAGAGAGAGTGTGTGTGTGTGTGTGTGTGTGTGTGTGTGTGTGAGAGAGAGAGAGAGAGAGAGAGTGTGTCTGTGTGTGTGAGAGAGAGAGAGAGTGTTGAGCGGTTTCTGACTGCGTACACCTTCTGTCGAACTCTCTGCATTAGCAGAGAGGAACCCGGACGAGGCTTTGCCGAAGGGCAAGGTTTCGTCCGGGGAGGTAGACAGGGCCTGAACCCGTCTAATCGGCTTCAAAGGCTAATTTTTGGCCGAGCCTACGGGCCCGGAGAAACCCACAATAAAACCGGCCTTGTGCCATATTCGTTTCTCGTGGTCGAAATGATAAATACCGAGAGAGAGAGAGAGTGTCTGTGTGTGTGTGTGTTTGTGTGTATGTAAGGAGCTTATAAACATTCTTCGAGAGAATAAAAGTTTTCGGTAAAAAATGTAGTTTCCATGGTGATAATTCTTGAAACATTTCGATGTGTCTAATGGGACGCGTTTGTTCAATGGCCAATTCCTGTGACTCGGTCACGTAAGAGAGTATGCTTAAGTGCTGGCGGCTCAAGTTTTGGCCACAGAGAGCTTAGATAAAGTGGTCGGCTTTAGGAAGCCAGAGACGAGTCCACGAAGCCTGAAAACATTTCTATTCGAGGCGAATCTTAATGAAGCTGGCAGAGAGCCATTCAATGTTCAGAATGCATAATTGCCTATAAATAAATCGATTGCATACACCGATTGTTACTTTTGAACATTCCAGAAGATAAGATGACATTTAGTTTATGTTTGTTGGGACGCCGAAGTATTTCTGGGGAAAGAATATGATTCCATATTTTTCATTTGTATAGTTCTTTTGAATTGGTTTCCACTGAATTTTTATTGATGTTGAGATGTACATGTGTTTATCTCTTACTGTAATAATATAGCCAGGTACTTTGGACTGCTTTTGTATTTACATATTTGAATAAATGCTTGTTTTGTCTATCTTCAATGGCTTGTGAGCGTGGGAGGCATAATCGGAAGATTCTCTTACGCTCTTATCTATCTATCTATCTATCTATCTATCTAACTATCTATCTATCTAAATGTGTTCACATCTATATATCTCTTTATTTTAAATTGTTTATATCTATCTATCTATCTATCTATCTATCTATCTATCTATCTAAATGTGTTCACATCTATATATCTCTCTATTTTAAATTTTTCATATCTATCTATCTATCTATCTATCTATCTATCTATCTAAATGTGTTCACATCTATATATCTCTTTATTTTAAATTGTTTATATCTATCTATCTATCTATCTAAATGTGTTCACATCTATATATCTCTCTATTTTAAATTTTTCATATCTATCTATCTATCTATCTATCTATCTATCTATCTATCTATCTATCTATCTAAATGTGTTCACATCTATATATCTCTTTATTTTAAATTGTTTATATCTATCTATCTATCTATCTATCTAAACTTGAATGCAGTTATGCGTGGCATAATGGGATGATTCTCTCTCTATCTTTCTCTCTCTCTCTTTCTCTCTCTCTCTCTCTCTATATATATATATATATATCATAGTCAGTTTATATCTATCTATCTATCTATCTATCTATCTATCTATCTATCTATCTATCTATCTAAACTTGACCGAGAGAGTCACAGTTTGAAGATTCTTTCTATATATCTTAAAATGTGTATACTACTTATTCTAATGTCTTCATATCTATGTATCTATCTAAATATGTTCATATCTATCTATCTATCTATCTATCTATCTATCTATCTATCTATCTATCTAAATATGTTTATATCTAAAACTAAAAACAACTAACATCTTAAATCTCCTCTCATTTTTTAATGATTTTAATTATCAAATAGGAAAAGCGTACGTTCTCTTCTGATTCTTTTATAAGAAAATTAACAAAATAGAACTGAATGAACTTCTGCCCTGATTAATTTCTAAAACAAAGAAGCCAAAAGGTAACAATCTTCATTCGTCATATTACAGGAAAAAAGCTTCGCCGATTCGTTTATAAAACTTTTATTGAAAGTATCAAACATTTTTAATGTATTAAAAACATTGATCTTTTGTGTGAGGAATCAAAAGAGACATTCTTTTTTTAATGGTTTCATAAGAAAAAAGGGTGAAAAAGAAAACACTTCAAATTCGAATGTTTATTTTGTGTTTATTTGTAAGTACCCTTTTAAGTCACTGAGATTGATCGAATCGAATCGATAATTGTCGCCTTGATTTTGACTTGAAGTGATTTAGGATTCAAATAAGAATCCTTTGTCGCGAGCAAAAATCCTCACCTTTCAAATCAAAATGGCCAGATTCCATTAACAAGACATCACATTTGAAAATAAACCTTAAACAATTTCAAAACACCAGTAGAAATGATCTTGTTCAAGTACGGAACATTTAAAGGATGTCATCAAAATTGAAATTGGCAACTGGTTGAATGTATGTTCAAATTTACTTGATTCCATTATTATTATTATTATTATTATTATTATTATTATAGTTTTATTTCCTTTGATTTCTGGTATGTACTCATTTCTTTCCGGGTCCCAACCAGGGACCAAAAATCAGAAATCCCAAACATATACTGGGAGAAAACTGCCTCTGCACGGATAGAGAATGAATTTATTTATTATATAAAAATAGAAAGGGTTGTTAGACAATGATGTTTTCTCACTGTTGGTATCTGTCATATATCAATGGACGTGCTCAAATCTTTCTATGACAACCATGTATGTCTTGGTATCTGTCATATATCAATAAACGTTCTCAGATCTTTCTTTGACGACTGTGACTGTGTTGGTATCTGTCATATAACAATGGACGTTCTCAAAGTCTGTAAGTAAATTAGAGGTCCTACTAGGAAACATTATTAGCAGCCACAATCATAACAACGTAATATATGCAGTGTTGGTAGCAGGCACAGAAATGATACAAGATCTCTTACAGAAGCCAGAGAAGGAAAGCGATACGAAAGGACTAAATATCAATTGCAAGAAGACAAAATGTGTGTCTATCCGCAAATCCTTTCACGCCGACTGTAATCGTGTTGATATATAACATATCTCAAATACTTCCATGACGACCGTGACAGAGTTAATTTCTGAAATATCTCAAAAGACTTTCTCAAATCCTCCTGTGACTACCGTGATCGTCTTGATGTCGAGCATATCTTAAAGGACGTACTCAAATCCTTCCATAGTGTTCGGTTCAGTCTCTATATCTGCCATATATCAAAGGACTTTCCCAAACTCCTCCACGAAGACCGTGATTGCGTTGATAGCTGACATATCTTAAAGGGAGTCCTCAAATCTTCCGTGAAGATCGTGACTGTGCTGATGTCTAAAATATCTCAAAATGCGTTTTCAAATCCTTCCATAACGAACGTGACAGTGTTTATATCAATGGACTTGATCACACTCCACCACGACGACCGCGATAACATTGTTCTCTGCGCCGTCCAAAAAGCAATTCCCAATTCCTTCCATGACGATCGTGAGTGTGCTGCTATCTGTTATATATCAATAAACGTTCTAAAATCCTTCCATGACGACCATGATTGTGTTGGTATCTGTCATATATCAATGGACGTGCTCAAATCTTTCTATGACAACCATGTATGTTTTGGCATCTGTCATATATCAACAAACGTTCTCAGATCTTTCTTTGACGACTGTGACTGTGTTGGTATCTGTCATATATCAATGGACGTTCTCAAATCTTTCTATGACGACCATGATTGTGTTGGTATCTGTCATATATCAATAAACGTTCTCAAATCTTTCTTTGACGACCTTGACTGTGTTGGTACCTGTCATATATCAATAAATGTTGTCAAATCCTTCCATGACGACCATGATTGTGTTGGTATCTGTCATATATCAATGGACGTTCTCAAATCCTCCTGTGACGACCATGATTGTGTTGGTATCTGTCATATATCAATAAACGTTCTCAAATCTTTCTTTGACGACCTTGACTGTGTTGGTACCTGTCATATATCAATAAATGTTCTCAAATCCTTCCATGACGACCATGATTGTGTTGGTATCTGTCATATATCAATGGACGTTTTCAAATCTTCCTGTGACGACCATGATTGTGTTGGTATCTGTCATATATCAATAAACGTTCTCAAATCTTTCTTTGACGACCTTGACTGTGTTGGTACCTTTCATATATCAATAAATGTTCTCAAATCCTTCCATGACGACCATGATTGTGTTGGTATCTGTCATATATCAATGGACGTTCTCAAATCTTTCTGTGACGACCACGATTGTTGGTATCTGTCATATATCAATAAATGTTCTCAAATCCGTCCATGACGACCTTGACTGTGTTGGTATCTGTCATATATCAATGGACGTTCTCAAATCCTTCCATGACGACCATGATTGTGTAGGTATCTGTCATATATCAATGGACGTTCTCAAATATTCCTGTGACGACCATGATTGTGTTGGTATCTGTCATATATCAATAAACGTTCTCAAATCTTTCTTTGACGACCTTGACTGTGTTGGTACTTGTCATATATCAATAAATGTTCTCAAATCCTTCCATGACGACCATGATTGTGTTGGTATCTGTCATATATCAATGGACGTTCTCAAATCTTTCTGTGACGACCACGATTGTTGGTATCTGTCATATATCAATAAATGTTCTCAAATCCGTCCATGACGACCTTGACTGTGTTGGTATCTGTCATATATCAATGGACGTTCTCAAATCTTCCTGTGACGACCATGATTGTGTTGGTATCTGTCATATATCAATAAACGTTCTCAAATCTTTCTTTGACGACCTTGACTGTGTTGGTACTTGTCATATATCAATAAATGTTCTCAAATCCTTCCATGACGACCATGATTGTGTTGGTATCTGTCATATATCAATGGACGTTCTAAATCTTCCTGTGACGACCATGATTGTGTTGGTATCTGTCATATATCAATAAACGTTCTCAAATATTTCTTTGACGACCGTGACTGTGTTGGTACCTGTCATATATCAATAAATGTTCTCAAATCCTTCCATGACGACCATGATTGTGTTGGTATATGTCATATATCAATGGACGTTCTCAAATCTTTCTGTGACGGCCACGATTGTTGGTATCTGTCATATATCAATAAATGTTCTCAAATCCTTCCATGACGACCATGACTGTATTGGTATCCGTCATATATCAATAAGCGTTCTCAAATCCGTCCATGACGATCGCGAATATGTTGGTATCTGTCATATATCAATGAACGTCCTCAAATCTTTCTGTGACGAGCTTGTATGTGTTGGTATCTGTCATATATCAATGGACGTTCTCAAATTCTTCCATGACGATCGTAAATGTGTTGGTATCTGTCATATATCAATAAACGTTCTCAAATCTTTCTATGATGACCATGTATGTGTTGTTATCTGTCATATATGAATAAACGTTCTCAAATCACCAAACAGTTTAGATTTCATAATAATAGAATTGAACTTACTAGAAGTCGCTAGAAACTTCTACTCGGTTTTAGAGGGTATAAAAAACATACAGAAGTTCATACCAACTAGACAGTTTGCTTCCTGGAAGCTCAGCCACGACTACTGAGGTCAACTCCGGTCCTTTTGATTCATGAAGAAAGCTTCAACCGGAAGAATCTAAGTTCCGACAGTCCTCAAAAGAAAAGACTATCGGTAAATACTTCCCTTTTATATTCCTTAATATTGTTGATCAAACTCTTTTATTTTATATTCATGTGAATATTCAACTATTTTTCTAAGAAGAAAATCATATGATTCTTTGACTAGCGACGAATTCCCATCCGTCGCCTTAATCTTAACCGTACAAGGATTTCCTCTCCTGCTCCCAAATATACGTTAAGCCAACTACTTTGTTGACTCTCACACGCTTATTAACCTGCTAGCATTTCCCAACGTATATTGTTAAAACCTATTGTTTATAAAAAATATCTTATTATATTTTAAATAAAACCCACTTTCGTTATTACATGTAATCATTTCTTTCAACTTTAATTTCTTAGAATCTGTTTCATTTTATTTTTGTGTTGCGCCAGCCGTAACACATGTAACTCGAAGAATGGCATCAAGATGTTGACGTTCCCCACTGTTTCAAAAAAAAAAAAGGTTTTGGATGGAAATCCCATCAGTACTGAAAAGAGTGATAACAGGTACTGGATTTGAGAAACATTCCTGAAAAATTGTTTCAAGAGAAAGGTTTGGTTTGGTTTGTTTTATTTTACGGCACATCAACCTCAATGGGTCATTTAATGCCGACAACATTTTTTTTCTTGGTAATACTTTTGTTTTGTCAAAAATCTATTTCTGTTAATATTTTTTCCTCAAAAATGTATAGCTGGTAATATTATTTTTTCAAAAACGTATAGCCGGCAACACTATTCTTTAAAAAAAACGTATAGCTGGTAATATTTTTTCAAAAACGTACAGCTGGTAACATCATTTTTTCAAAAACGTATTATCAGAGGCCTTGCTGTTGGATGTAGTTTATCGTCATACCCAGGATTCAGATGTCGTTTATCGTCATACCCAGGACGCAGACGTAGTTTATCGTCATACCCAGGACGAGATCTGGGTTTCGGGGTGCTGTTGGACGTAGTTTATCGTCATACCCAAGACGCGGATCTAGTTTATCGTCATACCCAGGACGCAGATGTAGTTTATCGTCATACTCAGGACGCAGACGTAGTTTATCGTCATACCCAGGACGAGATCTGGGTTTGGGGTGCTGTTGGATGTAGTTTATCGTCATACGCTGGACGCAGATGTAGTTTATCGTC